TTTGTTGTTTTCAAGAAAAAGAAAAAAAAAACCAAAACAAAAAAGCTCAACCCAGTGGAAATGGCACGAGAAGCTTAGGTTTCTTAAGAAGTAATCCAATGTTTGTGGGAACAGAGAAAACCAACAATTTGTGTTAGTCAGAAACTAAGAAAACAAAACTCAGAGATCTCTCAACTTGAGAGGTGCTGATAGAAGGGATCGTAAGAAACGTGAAACTATAACAAAGTAGCTTTAATGATATTTTCTAGTTGTTAGTAGTTTTTGTTATTGAGTCTTTAACTCCGGCTTTTCGCGGTATCAGTGCACGTTATTATCAGCTCAGGGAGCATTTTTTCCATCTTGTTCAGTTCTCAGCGTTGGCAATAACTAGTCTTCCCTCCGCTGCTGCATTTTTCAGATTATCCTCCCTTTTTCCACTGCTTCTGAAATCTGTTCTCATGATTTTTGGTTTCTCTTGGAAAAAGAGACAGAAACTATTTTTCCAGATAGATAGAAGGAAAAAATGCATTCCTTTCTCCATGATATGACTTTGGGTTTGTTCTCTATGTGTACTGAGAAACAGCAACTGAACAGCAGGGATCTGCCTCATTAACACGCAGCAGAAAGATCTGCTGGGTCCTCTAGTCCGGCTCTGTGCCAAGGCTTGGCTAATCCTCTCTTCTGAATTGAAATGTCACCATTTTGTCCAGTTTAGCCTATCATGCCCCCAGTTAACATGGCTTTTGTTGTTTCCTGCAGCAGAAATGTTACTCGCTGGTGTTCTGCCTGCCTCCTCTTTTTCTGTGAACCCTGTGCTTCTGTTCGCTCCTCGCAGGCCAGCCTGCGTGCCAGCGTCTTCTCTGCGTTCCTCACGTTTGCCCAGAACTCAGGTTTCCTGTAATAACGTAACGACGAGCAGATCCCCGAGGCAGCTGGATTGCATTCGTTGTCGTACAGCTGGGCCCCCCTCTCTCTCCTCTCTCATCCGTAGGGATTTTCTGGCTGTTGCTTTTGCAGGAGGAAGTTGACGCTGGAGCGATCATTTTCCAAGAGGCGGTTCCAGTTAAGATCGGTGACACGGTGGAGACCCTGTCCGAAAGGGTGAAGGAGGCCGAGCACCGAGCCTTCCCGGCTGCCCTGCAGCTTGTCGCCAGCGGGGCCATACAGGTCGGGGAAGCTGGGAAGATCTACTGGAAGTAGGGGCAGCACGTCTGCAAGGGTCCTCAGAGGGGACGTCTGGGCTGCCTGAACTGATCAGTACAGAGGTCACAGCCTGCTAACACCCACACTGTGTTCTCTTCACAAAGTGTTTTCCACATGGAGTTTACCGTGTCATGTTCTCGCTCAAATGGTTAAAGATGCGAAGGAAAATCCAGAGAAAGCCGCAAATGGGAATATTAAGGCAGGGGGCTGTTCTCCGTAGTTTCAGCAATGGCTTCGTTACCTGCTTCCTAATTATAATCACTTCCTTGGCTAACATTTCGGTTCTCAATTGGTTTCTAAACAAACAAAAAAAATGCATTTGAGTACAGAGAGATCTGAGAATCTCCAAGACTGGCTGAGGAGTGTCAGTATTCCTCTCTAACAGACCGTACAGGCTGTAACAAGGGATTCTCTTGTCATGTCTGTGAAGTGCTTGGGAGGAAAAGTACTGGAACCAGTTCAATGGAAGAGACAGCTAAAGGCAGAAAACCTTACTCGTAAAAATCGCTAGCCAATACAAGAAAAACTGGCCTCCCAAAACACTACCTACTCCTGCTGATAATGAAATGGATTTTTTTCTGTATAGTTTCTGTGTTCATGTTGGTAGATCTTGTCTGGCCCAGATTCTGCACATATCCTGTCATTTCAAATATTGAACCTGCTCTCAATCAGATGCTAAATAGAATTAAATATCTGCTGACCATTTGTCTTCAAGCATCCCCATGTGAATGCACGTCATATGAATTCCCTTCAAATATTTTTTTTCTTTTATTGTATGAGCAGAAAGGGAGTTAGGACTAAATACAAAATGTGCTCTTGGCGTGCAAGACATTCTTCAGAAATTCTGCTGAAGTGCCTTTATTCTTTGGAACAGTATCTGCACCTGCAATACTACTGATGGAAACCCAGTAAATAGAATTCTGAAAACAATAACGGTTTTTTGCACAGCTGAACTCTTGTGAAAAAGCGCATGGTTGTCTTTTAATATTTTAGCATAGTTGTGAAAACATTTTGATGGATTTAGTGAAATAATGAATTTTCCCCCATACAAACCAGGTGCATCTGACCAAAGCTGATTATGTATGTTTTGGAGCTCCCCTTTAATACAGAGAAAGCTGATTTGTATTCTGTGCGCTGATGTCCTTATGGTACTTCGGTGTTGCAGTAATTTTAATTTGGATTTGAAATAAAGTCTAATAAAGTTAAAAAATTAAATATAAAAATCTTTCCTTGGAATTCCTTTACCAGAGATATAAGCTGGAGGAGGAGCTTGCGAAACGGAATCTAACTTCATCTACAGTACAGCAACTGTGAATCAGTTGGTGAGGTTACAGACATGTTAGTAATGATTCGCCAAGTGTGGTGACCTTACTGTTTCAGTGGCCAGATGGTCCCTGATGAAGAAAGTTGCTGACAAAACATTCCCGTCATCATCTGTCGCTGAGGATAAAGCTCAAGCAAATACAGGGGGAAATGACCAAATTTAATGGTCAAATTCAATTTGCTTGTAAAGAGCCAAGAATAAAAGCTAAAAGTCTTCCTCCCGGCGTTTTTCTTTAGAAACGGGCCCTCCCACCGAAGGGCCTCCCCCGCAGGCAAGCTGCCCGCCAAGGCTTGAAATCCAGCCTGCCTCGGTGGGAATGCAAAAGATGCGGGGAGCGTCCAGCTCTGGCAAGGCTTCAGCCTGCACGAGTTCAGCGCCTTCGCCATGACACAGCAAACCTTTCACAAGTCAAAAGAAACTGTAATTAAATTAACTCACGCATTAGAACAAGTAAGATTCCTAGGGGTGAAATCACTACCTGTACAGTTAACAAATACAACGTTACTGATAAAAGCGGTTTGATCGCTGCCAGGACGGCCAACAGCGGAAGGCGCGGGCGCTCCAAATCCAATACCCCATTCCGCCACTGACAGATTGAGCAAGACGCAGGTGTTTTGCCACCTAAGACCCATCTGTAGTTCTGCAAATGCACAAAAAGAAATTTTACTGTGAACTGAACCTTAGACTGCTTTCCTTCAATTACCACTCTGTAAAAAGAATAAATAGATTAATAGCCGATCACCACACCCGATCTCAGAGGGATGCCAGGAACACCGATTAGAGCGAGCGGTTCGATACCATGGTGACAGTCCGGAGACCCAGCCGAGCACAATAACTAGCACTCTGTTCTCTTTTAACATTTTATTTGTGAAGTTTGGAACATTCAGTCATGCATGCTATGCAATTCAAATAATACACAATGTGATGTTACTACACAGTTACAACAGACCGAAAGCAAACTAAGCAATGTGTTTATCATAAATATTATCTATATGTACCAAACATTCATTAATCTTGCCTTGTTACAGTTCTTCCAGCTTCTCCCAGATCATGAAAAAGATGTGTTGCAGTTGTTAGAATGTAAGAGACAAATACAGGAGGGCACTGAATTTTTCTCCCCTCCCTAACTACTGAAACACCACTAGCTACACATTAGGGGGGAAAAAAAAAAAAAGGAAAAATTTAGACTTTTTAACTCGAACTGACTCAGCCCGATACAGCCAAGAGCGAGATCCACAGTATGTCCCTTACTAGCACAGTACATCTCATACCAAAACAAGAACACATTTTTTCACTGCACCTAATGGCTATTAGTGATCCTACCTCTGGAAAATTCACCTCTGGCTACTTCGTTTTTAGTTTCGTCAAGTAGCTTCTTAGCTGGTTTTCTTCTTCTGATTTGTTACTTGCATGCAAGTCATTATTCTGGCAGACGACATAAAATAAGCTTCCCACAGAAGAAGGTTTTATTTAACAGCAGCGACTCTCTTGACCAAGCCAATGATTCAGTCAACAAAGAAAAATGAGATTTTCCTGCTACTGCAAGTGAGGCTGAGGATGTCTCGTTTTGCTTATTTCAAGGATGAAGGAAGAAAAAAAATGCCAGAAATCTGGTGTTTCTAGTTGCTCAATCAAATTTTCATTCCTCAAGATCCAAATGTTTTAACATGAAATTCTGGGAATGTCGATGCGCCACCCCCTTTCAAGGAGCAGGGGAAGGTGTCTAGATGTATGTTCAGTATGCGCTCTTACACGGTATTGACAAATAAGCTGTGAAGGGGAGTTTGTTTCATTTTGGTTTACTTTCTAAAGGTTCCCTGCCTTTTTGGCCTTCGGATCTTCTGCGCAGCAGCTCACCAGCTTCTGGCTCCCACAACGGCGCCCGTGTTCACGTGCCCTCCTCTGCACCATGAGGTGCTCCCATGGTGGTGGGGTCACAAGGATTAGGTCCTTGTAGGCTCCCTCCTCCTCCTGCAGAACTGTGCATTCATCCCTAACGCTTCTTCACCCCCAAATCCACGCTGTGCCAGGCTGGGCCTCACTTCTGATCTGCCCTGCCATGTCTGGCCTCTTCCATCCAACAGGAGATGGTCACCCTCTTGCAGCAGCATGGTTCCTGTTCGCGGTGGCTTTGCGAAGCTCTTGGTGCTCTGCAATGCAATGCAGCCAACAAAAATTGATCTCTCAGTAGCATAAGTTTCCCTCTGAAGCACTAGACCATTTTCACAGCTTAAGCCCCTCTTTGATTTGTAACACAGCATCTCCTTTACAGATGAAAAAATGGAACAAAGACATTTAAAATCTGAAACGATCGCTCGGCTTCCACTGCCAATTTTGCAAAAGGAATGTAACTAAAGCTGCAAGCCAAGGGAAAAGGGTCGCAGCTCAGAGTGGAAACCTGTGACACTGATACACGTGCAGCCAAAGAGAAGCACACCGAGGGCAGGGAGCAGGAGGGAAAGATGAGCGGAGAGCAAGCCGCTCATTAACCTGGCTACACCACATCGTTTTCTTGAGGCTCCAGAGCCACGAGAGAGGACGTGCACGTCTCCTCTTGAAGACAGAGACTTTGGCTCTCTTGTTTCCAGCAGGTTTTACCATCGGCTCCTAACCACACCGCTCCACTGGCTACCAGCTGCAGGGCAATGGGAAAAGCCCGGCACTCGGCTTCTTTAACCCTTTCTGACAGTGCCTCCTCGGTGTCGTCGGCCTTCACTGGTACTGGCTCCTGGTGGATCACTGCTTTCGGACTAGGTTCCTCCTGCAAGGGGGACATCAGCAGTCTTTCAGAGGAGGCTGGTTAACGGGCTCAGGAAGGTGACGGACAATGAGGACGGGGCAAAGTCCCGTGAGAGATCTCAGCGAGCACATCTGTAGTTGTGTGCAAGAGGCTGGAAGTACATCTGGAGAGGCTTATGACCTCCATTAGGGGTACCTACGTTATGTTAGGGGGTACAGCGGGGGAGAGACATGGGCTAGATGATTCAGAGGGCGGTTTGCTGAGCGTAGGAGAAACTGAAGAAAAAACATAATACAAAGAAGACAGGACCTCAGGAAACCACAAATGCAAAGTAACCCCCACATCTTCCTGTTTCTGCTGGTAACAATCCCAAGATTTCCACACATTCCCGTTCCCTCTTCCTGTTTCTGCCTTTAGAAAGAAAAGAAAAAAGCAAATTCCTTTTCCTAACACTTACCAGGACAAAATGCACGGTGCAGCCTGTGACTTTGAATCCACTTTGCAGGGCTTGCTGATGGGCATTTCCATCCTTGATTGGTGGGAAAAGTGATGGAGAAGCATTCAAAATTTTTCCTGGGCATCAGTGTGAGAGGAGAAAAAAGGAAAAAGGAAAAAAAGAACCAACCAGTTCGAACTGAATTTCCTTTAAAAATAAAAGTGAGATGTGATCATCAGTTCAAAACAACAGCATTGAGCACCACTCAGGAATTTAAATGGTCTCAGCTGCAGTCAGAACGCAAAAGGGCATGTTCCAACTCAGGTTCAAAAGTGAAAAATGCACATGGTGTTAGGATCTCTAAGGAAATCTGGGGAAGCACTGCTCTGATCTGAGGAAATACCGATCTTCCAGGACCGGGGAGGCTCTGGCTGTAGCCAGGCAAGCATGTTTCATTTAAGACCAAGGACTTCATTTGCTTTTGTGTCTGTGGATGTACAGATGGAGCGGGAAGTCTCTCCCCTGCCAGGTGACCAGCCCTCATGCTGCAGGTGAGGGGCTTGGAAATGGACTTCACACTGCAGCCTCACGCAGAGCCACTGTACGGATGGAAGTGATTTTTCATGGGAAACATCATTCCCGAAGGAGCCTGTCCCAGTGCAATCCACACAGTGAGTGAGGAACTTCTGAGCCAGGCCTCAGAAGCTGGCACTTGGTGCCCAGAGCCGAGAGGGAAGAGCAGTCTGTGTTCCCTGCTCCACTGGCCTGGTGCGCTTCTAAAGAAAGCTCTGCCCCACGCAGAGACACACTCACTCGGGGGTCTGTAACGGCTGTGTTTCCAGGACGCAGCACAGAGCAGTGCTAGGCAGGGCAGCACACGAGGGAGATGAATTGAGAAATCAGTCTCTCTCCCACTTTTTTCTGAGTGATAACTGCAGGGAGTAAGTTCAGCACAACTCCCCAGCACAGCAACAAACGACACAGTTGCACTGCCAGTCCCTTACTGCAGACAGAACCCAACTCCTGCCTGCTCCACAGGCATTTTTGCCTCCCAGAAGGCAGGCAGACAGACCAACTCCATGACCCTGATTTTGCCCCTCTGTTACTCAGCACAAGGGGCTTCTCTGCCAATGCACAGTCAGAATCCCAGCGCAGTCCCGCTGGCCAGAACAGCTGGAAGCACAGGGCAGCCCCACTGATTTACACGCAATCCTCAGTGTCAGCAAGGCTGCGAGAGAGTTAACCAAAAGATGGAAGAACTATGACTGTGTAATTCTGGTGAGACCAAGCATCTACATTTTAATTTCTCTTTTACAGTTACAGTTTCTTACCTTTCCATTTTCTGAGAAAAGGACTGGACAAAATTCTCATAAATCCTGAAAGACATATTAGTTCTACATCAAATTCTTCAAGAACTCGGTCAATCGTGCTGTCAAATTCAGAGCGACTCCCGTATAACTTATGATCAATCACCTAAAACATTAAAACAGATCAAAAGCCAAGGAAATAACTTTGTGTGAATGAGATCAGCTACTTGGGCAACAAAAAGAAAGCAAAATGGATTCATTCCAGGACATTAGAGGATTTAAAAGTTGTAATTTTGTATATTTTTCAGGATATTTGTCATTTTTCACATTTGATACAAACATTCCTGGGAACACCCCAATCACTTGCTAGTTAACACTGGCTGTTTCACACAGGATACTTTCTTGGACGTGTAGAAAATCTGCACAAAGAGAAGCCAACTGTGAAACGAGAAACGTGGGTAGTGTGGTGTAGAGGGAAATAAAGGGGAACATATCAGAAGATACTGACCTCTTACTCCAGAACGTCTAGCCAAAGACTGAAGTAAAAATAGTAATGCCTTACCGACAACATTGCCACCGATTTATAGTTGCTTACTGAAAATCATTAACTTACCTAAAAAGAGAACAAACTGGCTAACCATTCTGTGTAAGGGGAGGAGTCAAGCCTATTTCTATCTCTACTCCACCTCTCAGCCCCATCTCGCAAGGTGTCGATTCCTGACTCTGTTCACGAAGACGTTCAAATAAGGGGCTAACAAAGCTGTCATGCTCTTGCCTATGAAAATGTGAATTAATTTTGACATAACTTTTTTTGCCAGAGGTGAGTCTTTGTACTGCCAGAAAAAAAGTAACATGAATCCAACTCAGCTGTTGAGGAAGCTTGCTGAAAATGTTTTAACATATGGAGATCCTCCAACAGTATTTATTGTCATCTGTGTGTAGCTGTACAAATATAGTAGCTGCTCAGAATCATTAAATGTTAGAAGGAAGAGTTCCTGGTGGTCTGCAGTTGAAATCCCAAGTTGCTGAATGTTTTCAAAAGTCACATTCTATACTTTGACAAATATGACAACATGTTGTTACTCTATTTTTTGTTTGTTTGTTTTATGAAACAAACCAATGAAAGTTTCCTTAACACAGTGCTACTCTACTGACCACAGGTAGGAGAAGAGACTTGTATGGTACTGCTGCAAGTGCAGCATGAGACAAAGGTCTTTCTAAACAGGGATGAGCCAAAGAGACAACATGCTTGTGTTAGTGCTGGAGCGTGCCCAAAGAAGAGTGGCAGAGCTGGTGAAGGGGCTAGAGCACAAGTGTTATGAGAAGTGTCTGAGGGAATGGGGGTTGTTTAGTCTGGAGAAAAGAAGGCTCAGGGGAGACCTTACTGCTCTCTACGACTGAAAGGAGGTTGTAGCGAGGTGGGTGCTGGTCTCTTCTCTCAAGTAACTAGCGATAGGATGAGAGGAAACGGCCTCAAGCTGCGCCAGAGGAGGTTTAGACTGGATATTAGAAAAAATTTATTCATCGAGAAGGTTATCAAGCTCTGGAACAAGCTGCCCAGGGAAGTCGCAGAGTCACCATCCCTGGAGGTTTTTAAAAGGCGTGTAGACGTGGCGCTTCGGGACATGGTTTAGTGGTGGACTTGGCAGTGTTAGCTTAACAGCTGGACTCGATCATAAGGGTCTTTTCCAACCTAAATGATTCTATGATTCTATGCGTTTCACAGAGCCTGAAGTCTTACTGATTTCAGTTAAAGCCTGAAGCTGCATGGGCTGCAGTCTTGGACTCAAATCATCAAAGCACTTGCGATTTTAAGTCCCTTCCTAGCTCTGGACTGTAGCACTCACTGAAGAGACGGGAAGGACACAGCCTCCAGTGAGTACTGTCCATACAGCTTTCAGCTCTGCCTCTACTGATAAACTTTGACAGCTTTGCGCTACAGCCACTTATCCACATGAAAGTTTTAAAGAAAAGTGAAACATGAATGCTTACCAACCATTTCATAAAGACCTACAGATTCAGTAGCTGTGAGCTGGTGATAAAAAGGAAAGGAAACAAATGTCTTTACCCTGGTGGGAATTCCAGCCCGGGCTGCATTTCGTAGTTCTTCCACGCCAGATTTGTTGGAGATGACAAGGACAACTTGAGCACAACTGCCTGGCTCTCTTGCATAACTGATGAGCGCAGCAAGGTTTGTGCCTCAAATGAAGAGAGAGCAAACATTCAGGAAACAGATGAGCATCTATGCCACTGAGAATTGGCTCCCAGTCCTGTTTATCTAACAAAAATATTCTTTACAGCAACTGCACAAATAGAAGAGGAATAAGGAATTTGTGCACTAATAAAGCTCATTTGTTAAGCAGTACACTTATACTGTGTGATCATAAATGAAAGCTCACCTGTTCCAGAGATGAGAACAGCCACTTTAACTTTGTTCTTTCTGGGTTGGTGTTGACTCTCAACAACAGCGTTATTCAGCAGATGCTGGGGGCTGCTCAGCTGCAGAGCTTCAAGAAGATTCTCAACTTTGATGTGAGAACCTGCTCCAAATATGTGAGGGAAAAGTTAAAATACCTTAGATTTTACTTTCCCATTTAAATTTACTTTGTATAGTTTACTAACCATAAGTTTCAATTAAGAGAAAAACCTATCAGCAGTTGATTCATGCTAGCACTAACTGAACTACAAAAACATACATTACTTGAACAAATTAACTCATGCTAGTTGTGCTGATCTCTTTTGCATTACTCACTTGCAGAATTGTCTCCAAAGGCTCACGTATGGCATAGCCTTTTCAAGGATTATCCCCATCTTTCACACCTACCTTCCTCTTTCTCTCATGTTGCAAAATTAAACTAAAGATGATGTTGACAGAGCTGAGGTTGCATTGTGGCTGTCCAAACTGCTTCCCAAGCTGTTTGGCTTCCAGAGGGATTTTGGCTCATGTCTTGCTGTATGTCACGCAATGGACATACCAGAATGAAGGTTTAGCCATTACGTATGACTGTACACAGCTGAGGCCTGTCCTCAGTCTTTACTCAGGATCCATGTGAGTTGGGAAGGGGTTGGAAAGGAGGTGAGTTGATGACCATGACTGTAGCAAAGCATAATCAACTAAAAAACATTTGAGTCCTTGCAGGCAGTCATCAGAGGTATTTACTTCAGTCTCAAGCAGGTACCTAGGTAAGACACTATTCAAGTAGTGTCATTCTGAAAACAAGTCATTCCCTTCTCACTGTTTTTAATAATGAAATCTAGATGGGAAGGTGTCAAGTAGCCTCCAGCATAGTGAAATGACAGAAAAAAGACATGACCTACACAAACTTTGCAGTAAGGAGTCTCCTCAATGCCTACAGAACTGAGGATAACTGGTACCTCCTAGGAGATGCTCACACTTCACAGAATCATACTCTAAAACAACTTACCCTGTATCAGCTTAAAAATTAAATAGCGCATCCTAAAGCGGAAAGCCCTCTGAAGTGAGACAGATGAATTTGTTACACTTTGAACCAAACCATACTCTGTTTAATTTTTGTGAGTGTCTTCATTTCTCATTAGATCACCTGCTAACCTGTGTGACAAGGGGCAACAACCTTCCCGATCAGCCAAGATTCCTCATGCCTCTGTAAGTCCTTGAGAACATGCTGAGCCAGGTCCTTCTGCACAACCAGGACTGCACCAATCCCACAATTAAATGTCTGAGCCATCTCCTCCTCAGAGAGGTTTCCCTCTCTGTAAAGCCAGCAAAAGATTTCAGGAATCTTCCAACTGAGAGCATCTGAAAACAATTGAAACTTGTATATGGTCAACACAAAAGTTTGCTACCCATCTTTTATTATATACAATGACAGTGGTATATTACAAGAGCTGAGAGAAACTAATTCTTGCTATTTTAAGAATACAGTCCAAGGAGGACACTGACCCAATGTCCAGTCAAATTTATAGGTGCTGTTTAGCTAGAGGTTTCTAGTTACAATTTGTGTGAGCCAAGTCTTCTCTAGACTTCCTAATGAGAATATGTAGGAAATGATGGCGAATTAAAATGTATTCACCCCTCATCAGACAGAAGGCCAAAGCTATAGATGCCTTACATCTCTTCTGTAAGAGATAACGGAGCTGTGGGACAAATAGTCTTCTGGCTTTTTTGGACTGCTCAAGCACATCCTGGTTTTCTGTTTCAAAGAACCAATAATTAGTATAAGAGTGTATACTTAAGGGTGTTGATGGGCAGACTGGAACAGGGCTGACCAGTCTACGCATGGATGGGCTTTCACAGCAACCCTACTCATGCAGGCGTGGCCTTAGGTTGTGTGTGGAAAGCTTGATGGTGCAGACCTGCCATCTCGACTTCATTTTAGAAAACTAACAATCCCCTGGGCTTGTTATTGTGTCTGTGGTTCCACGCACTGACAAGCAAGCTGGGTACCACCTTAGTAAGCTGCGTGTATTTTTTTCCTTTCTAATTTCATTCTCAAGAAATACAGACAGATATGCAGACATCTTCCTTCCCCCCTTCCTATCCCCACAGTATATTTGGACTCGCATTTTCTTTAATTAATTTTGAACTTATGAATACTTTGCCCAATTTCAGCTTACAGAGAAAAAGCTCTACCTTACTTACAGATGTCAAATGCTCGTCTTATGAGGAAACTACCACCTACCATAAAATTGCATTAGATGTGTGTGTGTACACACACTGTAGAGCATATCATGCAAATTAGTCCTCTCAACAAGCTTCACTGTTCGGTCAAAATGTTTAGTATGGAGAGTTGTCTCGCAGAACACACAATCTTCTCAAATCGCTTTTCTCCTAGGGATGAGCTGCCTTCAAACTCTCCTTAAATTCCCTTCTCAAATGAGAGAGCAGTGCTCATCAGCTGACACTTACTTGAAATAGGAATGGTTCTGGTAAGCTCTTTGGAAAAGCATTGACTTCAGGTCATTCCACCTCCAACTATGTAGACACATACATTTCTGAAGATATCTGTAACTGAAGCTGAAAAGCCAAGTCCATACTGTACATAAATTGTGTCAAAAAGGCACAGTCATCTTTGATATTTACCTAGGATAGCACCGACATGTTCTGGCAGGACTCTGGAGATGCCTTCCAGCAACCCCTCCTCAGCAATGAAGGCAAAAGCCTTCACGTGCCCTGAGCGAAGGACAGGCAGCAAGGACGGACTGTACATTTTTGCAGGAGTCAGCAATATATCTCCTGCAAACAAAAGTGTCAATTCAATAAATTTGTTTAAAAGGCCATTAGGTGTTTAGTGGGAATGCTTCTCTGAACAGGTTCCCTTCTGCTCTTTGTGGCAGGCAACCTTGTGAAGCAGCAAAAAGTGCTGGCCCACTCTTCCAAAACTGTGGATGCAAACCCACGTACCTACCCCAAAAACTGATTTAACCCTAATCTGTCCTGAAGTAAACCACCCTTGGCAGCACCTAGTTATGAAAATGTCTGAACACAATTCATTTGCAGGTTGCACTGGAGAAGAAAAATTTTGTACCTAGAGTCTTGTCACCAAAACTGCCAGGCGCTGGTGAGGAGTAGTGTAAGGAGGACATTAAGAGAATCTTCCTTACGATGCTAAAGCCACGGCCGTGAATCCCAGTAGAGGCCAGTCCAATAAGCACATCCTCCTCATCAGCTCTCTGCAGCCCCAGAAGCATCTGGCCTCGCTCCACTGCGCCAACCACAAAGCCAGCCAGGTCATACTCTCCAGAAGAATACATACCAGTCACCTCAGCCATCTCCCTGCCTAAATGGTGAGAGAAAGCAGTCAGCACTAGCTGTAAACATTTTTTATTGTTAACTTTAAATCTATAGCATCTACTAAAATAAGCCATGTATCCAGGACTGCTGCGGAGACATGCAGCCTAAGCAGCACATTCAGATATATTTTAAAAACCCTTCTTGGTTTTTTACCTCATCTCAAGACTTCAACAAAACAAAGCTTCCTGAAGTTACTGAAAGAAGATTTTTTTTTTCCCATTTCATGCTACTTACCTGGTACCTCCCAGCTATGACTGAATATCAGAGGGGGAATGAAAATATATTAACACTTCAAGAATGTGAGGCATCCAGTTTTTCTCTCCTTTGTACAAGCAAAAATCAGGATCCAAATGCACGAACAGTAAAATTGACCCATTTCAGAGATAAGGAAGAGCTTAAGCCCAAATGCTCGACTGTTTTTTCCACCAAACAGAAACCAACTGTTCTAATGCCACATACTGCCTCTGCCTACAAAGCCTGTTTCACTAGCAATCATTTCAATATCAGAACCTTCAAATCTCAAAGGAGAGGAGTGTTCATACCCAGGAATGCGCATCCTGCATTTCTGCAAGCTTCAGCTATTCCTTCTTTCATTGTTTCAGTCAGCTCAACATCAAGTTTGCCACAGGCAAAATAACTGAGGAAGAAGAGAGGCTCTGCTCCTTCAGCCAGGATGTCATTGACACACAGGGCAACCAGGTCCTGACCTATGGTGTCATGTCTTTTACATATTTGTGCAATCTGCAAAACATTGTGGAAACCAGCAGTGGTGACAAGAAATATGCAAAACTCAGATCTTAAATCAGTCAAATAAGCAGAAATCTTCTTTTCCCTGAAAAGAATCACAATAGAACATACATGCAGAAGACAACCTGGTGCACCATCTAGTTTAAATCAAGAGAAAACAACTAATTTTCTTGCAGAGAAAAGAAAAATCTATTTTATTTTTTGAAACATTAATTCAAATTCTAGCTCCAGCTACACAGAATTTTTCATTTTCGGTCAGTTGTTTGTTCGCTTTTTTTGGAATATTATGTCAAATCCAGAACAAGAGGTGTCTCAAAGCAATTACAAATTCCCCAGATATTCAACCTACAGAACATCCTAGAAATTTCAAAAAATAAGATCAGGTTCCTCAAAGATCACTGTGTGTTCTGCTTTACTTTTGCCCACTGATTCCACTGGGCCACGCAGTAAAACCCAAACAATTTATGAAGTAGTTTTCTTCTTCTTCTCCAAGTCCACAGAGGATGAGATTCTGCACTCCCACCCTCCCCAAGGAGTCTTCTGATCTCAGCGACCTCATGCCACAGACAACAACGTGGGTCTGGTATGTAGGCTCCCTGGAAAGACAGGTCTTTCACAAAGCAATAACATTTCCTTCAGGAAGGCTGCTGTTTGGTTTTAAAATAAGTTATCAAGGTGTTTGCATCCTACAAGTAATGAAATCCAATTCAGACACCACGGCTTCTATAAGGTGGTGACATTTACACTACTTTATTACAAGCAGAGGTTTCTACACTGTCAGGGATACTGCAATTTATCTCTGTCAGTTACTACTTCAGTGTCTGAAATAGGACAAAGCTTGCATACGTATGGATAAATTTTCAAGGTAACTACCTTTTACCGACACAGCTCTCTCAGTGTAGTTATACCTGTGCAGAAAAGCTCACTACAGAAAGATGGGCAAGGGAAAAATGCAGGCAAATACTATCACTGGCTTCAAAATGGTAATAGATCAGCACCTAAACAAAGTGTGAGTTTGTATTACAAGCCTGGCTTCTTTCACCGGCTGGTGAATTTAGAAGTGCTATGGAAACCAGTCATCCCATGTCCTTTGTTGCATTGTAACATCTCCCTCCCACTGATCTCATAACAATTCATATAGGCATCAGCCAACTTTTTTTGGCCAAGGAAGAGTCTTGGGAACAGTCTGTGTAAACACAATTGGGAATGTCTCTCTGCTAACCAGTTGGAACAAAGACTCACAAGAGCCAACATCAATCACTTTTTAATGCTCAGAGGTGTCCAAGGATGTAAGACTGCAAAAGATTATTCTGGATTATTATGTTCAGTCTCCTGCTGTTGCAGGAAGCCACACCATATCATCCTGTTACTAAAGGTATAAACACCAACTTGAAACAAGAGAAGTTGTTGTGCTTGATCAGTGAAAGGCGGCTTCAGACCTCCAACTGCTCTGATGGCTGAAAGCCTCCTATGATTCAATATATATGCATATATATTCCTGGCTCAACTTATCCTGCATCTTCTTGTGTAATTAGCATTCTTTATCTATCGGCTTCTCTTCCCCTTTAATATTGATCTCCTCCATCCTTCTTTTCCCCAGTGCCCTAACAAAGGTAATTGCACTACCTCTCCGCATACAATTTATTAAGCTAAGTCCAACAGTTATCATTTCAACACTCCCTTGTACTCCTCTGATCTTTCTCAAAGCAAATGGACCCTCTATTTTATAGCAGAAATTTTGGTTCTTAGTTCCTCAAGTGCTCAGCTAAATGTTTTGTTTTACTATCATTTAATCACAAAATATCCAGAGCCTCCACATACTCAGTAACATATGCAAAGGCCTTGCTCAAGTGATCATCTGCAAAGCTCAAATGGCCATTACAGTGGTTGCACTTGAGATGTATTTATAATGCTCAGAAAGGTGCAGATGGTTCAATTGGCTGTGGCATTTAAAACAATCTTGGAGGTAACATCAGCTTTGCTACAGTCAAGTTGCAAGTTACCTGCAGTTTAGGTCCAAGGCCTTTAGTTTGAGACACCAAGATAGGATCATCATAACCAGATGCTTTCAAGTCAAAGAAACCAGCAAAGCCTCCTACTTCTGAATGACTGCCTGCCAAGTACAAATATATCAAGGATCATTTTTAAGGGAAATAAAAAGACCCAAAGCCCTCATCAAAGCAAGTACTGCGAATTATGATTTCTTGGAGAAGACAGTGCTGTGTCCACTGACAGAAACATGCACAGCTTTATGAAGCATGGACCCCAAAGTCACATCTTTCATGGTTTTGTAAATAGACCTTTATTATTCTGTATTTGTGACTTATGGATTGTGTGTAGCAAAGATTAAACATTTCACCAAACTGTTAACAGCTTGCCTTTTTTCTTTATGTAGCTACTTTTTACTAAGGGAAAAAAAATCAACAAGGAATTTTCCTTAGTAGATCACTGCTCAGAGTAAGGACATAGTCTGAAGAGCAAATAACAAGTTCAGCGACTGTTAGCCACTCATATTTACAGCTGGTAGGACCACTTCTGTCCAGTGATGTACAAAACCATTCCATTAATCCAGGAGTTATTCTGCTCACTGGACTAACCTTGAAAAAGTGTAATCATCCCCATGGTAAGCCAACTATTTTTTAATTAAGCAAAAAAGGAGTGATGAGAAAGAAATGAGAGTTTGCTTTCTGCTGATCCCAGCCCAGATTCTCAAGCTCAATTTCAATGTCAAGAATGCATTGCTCACCTCCTGGGGAAAAAAAAAAAAAGTTCTTTTGCATTCAATATATTGAGGAACTTCAAAGATTATTCTCAGTCTTACCTGATCTGGTACCACTTACAATTGATGTTTCCAGCTGATGAAACAAACCATCACTGGTTACAGCTTCCACACGTCTCTCTTTGTATATTAGACCCCTGTGGAGAGTAAAGGACATGCTAGCAGCAGTAGTGACACCTTCTGCACAGACCATCATTCATCACACAAATGGGAACAACAGATATAAAACTTTGGACTAGCATCTATTTCTGCTAGTGCCTTTGCTTACATACAGAGACTGTTTGAGAAGCCGTATACCCCGATGGCCAATGTCCTTCCTGTAAGTGGCACCTTTGAAACGTATGGCCGCTACACCCCTGTTGGCTTCTCCCAGTGCTTTCATCAGGTCCTCCTTAACAGCAGTAATGGAGAGGACTCTGCCACCACTTGTCACCACTCTGCCATCCTTCAGCGTTGTGCCAGCATGGAACACCTGCAGCCCTAACTCTTTGGCTTGCAGCAGCCCTACAAAAGCAAAAGGAACTCTCTGAGTATTTTAAATAACATGCTGTGTTGGCAAAGCAGTGAAGATCGAAGTCCTTCCTTCAGCCAAGGGAGAACAACAATAAAACTTCCCACCTTACCTTTCTTCTGAGAAACAGCATTACCAGTGAAGGGTATTCCACTCCACTGGCCCTAAGACTCCCTTCTGAGACATCCAGCAAGGACACAGATCACACAGGAACAGAAATAAGGGATCCAGGAGCCACAAGAGGACATATAACTACCCTGTGCCACGGCAAAACTGTGCTGAATATGATAATTGTGAATAATTTGTATGGGACTTCCCTGTATGAAATCACAATTCATAGCTGTTTACTGCTTGGATTCTCTCCTCTCTGATATCAAACCATAAAAGCAGCACTCCTCTAGTTATTCTGCTGTGCCCGCTCCACACAATTCCCTACCATGCCTGGAATCAATGCTCTGCAAACACTTGCAGGTGGCTATCTAATAGCTAAAACAAATTACGTATGTTGTTCTTTTAATTTGTTTCCATATATTTTCCTGTCAGAGGAAAGCAAAATTGCTTAGGGTTTTTTTAGATCCGTATTTTGAGCAGAAGATAAAGGAAGAGGAGGAACTGCTGCCATCACCTGGAAAAAGCAAACAAAACACAGTTTTCCCCTTGCTATCAGCCAGATAGATAGATTTTATAAATGAGTAAAAGGGACTTTTACACTTGCTGTAGGTACCGTGTGTTGCATTGCCACAGCATTGCCCTGACACAAAGTCAAAGCTGAGCCCCAGCTGACCTTGCTGCAATGGAAACCTAACTCCTTCCCATCATGTTTTAAGGAATACTCTGGAATAAAATGTTTGTTAAGTCATTAAAATGTGGGAATCAATGTGAAAAATAGGGAAAAAACTAATAAACCCCATAAAATTCCAGGGGTTGGAGTATAATAATAAAAGAATGGATTGAATTTCATTGTTTTGACTGTCTTTTTTTGTGATTAACAAGCAGGAGGTCACACCATCTCACTCCTAAAGGTATGAATAACAACTTGAAAAAAGTTAAGTTCCTGAGTCTGACTCATGAAGGGTAGCTTACTAGCAGAAGGATTCATTTGGTTACATGGTTTGCATTTTTACAGTTACAGAAACACAGAGTTTCCCAGAATATCACTGACAAAACAACATAAATACAGTGTGTAAACTGGAAGAGGAGGGAGGGCAAGGAGAATGTGACAGCAGAAATCTCGACAAGGGAAAAAGCAATATAACATGACCTTCTCCCTGCGTGACGCAGGGTAACTGGAGTTCTGATAAAAATAAGGTGGCCTTGATACAAGATCAGTTGTCTGGGTTGCTTTACATAAGGTATAGGGTTGGACTGGCAAGGCAGTAGCTGAGGGGGAAGGAAATAGTTCTGCAACAGTTCTCTCTCTTTTTAAACATTTTAAAAAATCTTAATGAGATATTAAACCACAAGAATTTTAACACAGAAAATCACTATTGATCTAAAGCCCACATGCCCACCTTCCCAAAAACCCTTCAAGCTCTATGAAGAAGAGGTCCTTATTAGTACTACGCAGCAGTGACCCTGGCTGGCTGGCATAAAGGAAGGAACCAAGCTGGTGGCGGAGGTATGCACTGCTCCCGTTTTAAAGGCCACAGGTCCTCAAGTCTCACCCTTGTCACATGGTCAGGCATTATCTAAGACAACGTGACCTCCTGGCAGGGAGCAAAGCTAGGAAAAAGCAGTCATGTGCTGACAATATTGTGGTCCGTGTTTCCACCCCAGTTTGTGGAAGTACTCCACGTGGATGCACCAGAGTTGTTCCAGGAGGACATGATGCCCCATCACCTTCTTATCTCAGCAACCAGCTACAGACAGCGCTTTACAGAATGATGTAATTTTAAACATTTAGTCCCCCTGCTGCTTTGGACAGGCATACACTCCAGTTAAAAGATCTCACTGAACAGCTATCCCTTCCACATGGACAAGGAGTGACGGATGAAGGCAGACTCTGACAGAGTGGGGGGCGGCAGGGGGTGGAGAAAAGTCATACAGATCTTTGGGAGAAGAGGTAAATGCAAACCCACTGAAGTACTACATTGAAATTAAATAGTAAACAACCTGCTGCAGTTACCTGTTACCTCCATGCCTTTGTCATAGTCTCCTGGGTATCCTGGACTTGCCATGACCACACACACAGCCGTACTATTTTCTGACCAGGTTGGCATGAAGTTGCAGAGTTTGCCATCAATTGTTGCTTGAATCACTTCATAAAAATCATTTTTAAGTAGTGGAAGAATTACCTTGAGAAAATTTTTTGTAGTGATAGTAGTTAATTTTTATTTTGCTGACTGGTTGAAAATTCAGTTAATAGAGTAAAACCCATACATGCCAAACTGAAAATACTGTATACATATACCCTATACCAGTAGATTTGGAAACGATAGGTGAGCATTAATTTGTAGCATCTTTTTGCAGGAGTCATAAATTCACAAACATGAGATGTGAGATTATGTAGAAGGAACATGAACTTAGGCCCCTCTCATTCTGCTTCTATCCAGAAAAATAAAATCTGATGGACAGTTCTTTAACTTAAATTCTTTAACTAACAATTCACAGAGGCTGACAAGCTAAAATTTTAAGTTACCTCATACATCGTCTAAGTCATTCTCATTCAGATCTGCATGTTCAGGGGAAGGAAGATGCAAATCCAAATATATCACGCACATTTCCCTAAAGGTAGCAGTCAGAGGTAAAAGAATAAAGCATATTTAAGTTTCCAGTATCTTTCACTCACCTGGCACTGAGGGTCACCAAACTGACATTTAAAGTTTAAAATTTTCACACCATCTTTGGTAAGCATTAAACCTGTTTGGAGCACACCTGAACAGAAAGAACACAGCCAAGCAAATTAATGTTTATTTTTCAAGAACTCCTTGAAATGCAACACAGTGTTTTGAAATGTGGGATGCCTTTCTGCAGACTGTTAGGAATGAGGAGCAGGGATTCTGCAAGCAGTTATACACAAGTCATAATAATTCCACAATAAGCAACAAAGTGGCTAGCAACAACCTGAGGAACACTGCATCACATTTTAGACCTAATGCAACCTCTCTGCATCAGAAAGTTGAGTGCCTGCAATCTGAGAGCTGTAGCAGAGGGTGGAATTCAGAGACCAGGAGGAACTGACAGGATGAAAGCAACAGTTCCCATAAAACCCCATTCATTATGCAGACATTGCAATTTTCTTACCATTAAATGCACTACTGTTATGCATAAATATTGATGTATAACTCTGTATTTCAGGCAAAAAATAACAAACTAAAATTCTCTACTGCTGCTAACAAACAAGAACAAACAAAAACTCACCGAAGTTGGCATGCTGTGATTTCTACTCAACACACATATATGCACGTGGTGATCTAAAGCAGGCCTTGCATTGCAGAATCAGGAAACCAATTCCCAGCGGATAACAAGCGTGAAAATTTAAACCCCACAAAGCATCTGGTCCTCCAGCATCATCCTGAAAACGCCCAACACTCACTACATTCTTATTCCAGATTTGGGTGTTGTAAAAAAGTGACCAAATAGCAGAGGATACATCACAGACTGGAACCCAACTCTTTACACGTATATAATCTTGACAGTCTTCAGTACCAAGAGCAGCCATTGGCATTAAGTGACAGCTGTGAGCATCACCTTCCTTTTTCAGAACAGCCTTCAGACAAAGATCTTAAGAAAACATACATTTCTGTATATAGGAGTGAACAGTACAACTGAGCTTAAGTATATATTATACCTTGAATTACAAAAAGTCTGTCTGCAACTGTTTAAACAGAAAATATTTAATAAAAATACAGTATGTTTTATGGAGAAAAGATGAAAGTTCTTCTCTCCCAAGGAAGAGCTAAAAGTCAAACCAGCGAGGCTTAATATTGCATGAAAAATGACCCTTTTTTTTTTTAAATTAACAAATACTATTTGGAATTCAAAAGCAATCCCTAACAACAAAACTATTCTTGATATGACTTTACCTTGTTTTTCAGCTGAATGCTTACTTACCTACATATGCTGTTCCTTCTTGTCTCATACTATCAACAACATGTTGAAGGATAGCATCCTTGATTTTCTCTAGAAGAACTTCTGGAACCTGATGATCAACATCAAACTGATTGAGACAGAGGAAGATTCTTTCTGTACTTGCAAAAAAACACACTAATAGTCTACTTGAGCAGCATATCTAGAACAATGCAGTCAGCGTTTAGAATCAACAACAATAAATCCAAGGTTATGTTCAAAACACAAAGACTCTAGGCATGCAGGGAATTTTGTAGGGAGATTTCAAGTGATGCTAATAGGAGCGGAGAAACACTAAGTTTAGAAATAATGGAAAAAGAAAACACAGAGTTTAGAAAAGAAAAAGGTAAACACCGAGTTTAGGAATAATGGAAAAGGTAAGTAAGTTTAGAAAAAAGGAAAAAGTAAACACCAGCTTCAGGAACAACGAAAAAGATAAAAGACAGACTATTCATCAGAGCACTAGTTCATTAAATCCTAAAGAATGACTATGAAAGTTTGAGCCCTGTGCTGCACTTACACGAGTAAAGCATCAGTCAATTCCAGAAGAAATCTGGCCTATGTGATAGAAACAAGATTGGGCCCTAAAGGATATATATTAACCACGGATGTGATCAGCCTTGTTGCAGGCTGAGAGGAGGACTGCTGTACCTGAGGAACCGGGCAATAGGCTCCCATCCCTCCAGTGTTCGGACCCTGGTCGCCATCCAATAATCGTTTGTGGGCCTGGGCTGGGGGCATCGAGGCAATGGTGACACCATCCGTGAAGCACAAGCACTGTTAAGAGATGCACACAACACAGAAACAGTGACAACGTCCTGTCCTCAGGGAAGTCAACACTGCTGGTCACAGGCTGAGGCTCAGTTCTGCCAGGAAAATTTAGGAACCAAAGCTTGAAAGCAATAGGATTCTCTTATTCTGCTGCAAGCTCACTGACCTGAAAGATTCATTGAGCTCTCTTTCTCATTTATAAATAACCAAGAGAAATGGTGGCCCTCACAACAATTCCTTGCTGATGAATTAGATCTTGACCTATCAGTCACACGCACATATGCTTACCTTAAGGCATGTGAACAGTCTTCACTGACTTGAGAGAATTATTCATATGTTTCAAGTTAAACACATGTGCAGATCTGGGGCCTGAATGAGTGTGAGGTATTCTCATCAGTGCAGGACAAACCTTGCAAAAAGAACTTCTTTTCAGTTTTCATGTGGTATATAATATGCATGCTGAAGTTTTCTCCTGCCACTGAGTAGTAATCCATAGTAAGGAAAGTGCTAAAATAGGCTCTAAATATTAGCACAAAATTATTTATGTAACAAGAATTACCAAGGGAAAGTCCATACAAACATGTTTTAGGTCACCTTAGGAAAAAAGATATTTTTCCACCTAAAAAGATCACCATAATTGCAATTTTATGGCTAACGTAGAAGAAAATTCTACTGACAACGTACATTTATTAGTAACACATCAAATTGCTTAGATTGCATATTTATTTATGTAACCACAAATAAAACAAAATAACTATTTGAAACAATAAACTTGTGTGTTTATGCATAGAGCACAGCAATAATGCCAAAGAGTAAAAGCACATAACCACACCATCGATCACATACAGAAAGTTCTTCCCCTTGAAGAAGCTCTTCAATAACAACCACCTCTCCAAACATTCTGTCCTGTACAAAAAAAAACAAACAAAAAACTCCAGTTAGCAAACATGACATCTGCTGGCTAAATCCTCTCTTTATATTCTTTTAACAGAAAAAACAATGTGTACGAAAAGCTTGCTTGAATTCCGGTATGTTGAGCAAAGCCAACAGAATCTCGTCTGGAGATAAGCAAGACACACTGAAATGCACCTTATCAGACCCTGGGAGTCAATCAAAAATAAAAGGCTGGAGGGGCAGGGCAGCAGAACTCAGTGCTGGAAAGAGAGTTCAGCTCACAAACTCTACTCACTGCCCACTGTCTGGGGGAAACATCAGGAATTTGAGGATGATACCCAGAGAAATTCCGTAGTCAAACAGGCAAGTTTCTCCTAAAAATACTTGCTTCTTGTGGCCGAAATTACAAAACTCACAGGCTACAGAACGTCAAGAATCAGATTCCCACTGATGAATTAAAGATATATCCACCTGCATAATCTCTTGAACAGCTCTGCAGGCCTCCTCTTTGCTGGTTGCAATAGTCACTTCTTTTCTAGCAGCAGGGCCTCTCGCCCGTACGACTCGTGCAGGAAAGTCTGTGCTTTAAATGAAAGCAAAAGTGAGATTCAGGCATCCCTACTACATCCAGTGAAATTACCATTTTTAAGATGAATGCCTCCCATATTCTTCCCTTTTTTTCTGAATGTTTGAAGAATAACACTCAGAAAAATACATTCCCTGCTAACCCATCCTGTCATGGAGGTGAATGGGCTCTTATAGCCCTCAGCACAGGACTGTGAACCATAAATCATGAATTCTGTTGTTGGTTCTGACATCAATTCCTTGGACAAGCCACTGAACTTTAGCATGTCGCAGTTTTGCCCTCTTTTCACTGAGTTCGGTTACTATTTTATCCCTGTCATTGGTTTGGAAAGATGAACTCATTGATGATTTATAGTTTCATAACACCAGATTACAGTACATAATCTTATAAACCACTACAGAAGTTCTCTTTAAGGTTGTAAGGTTAAGGCTGAGTTAGGTCTTGCCTGTAAAGGATGTGTTAGAACTGGTGTATTAACACTGTATCCCCAGAATTGCTCCACTTACTCTTACACACAAACTAAATCTAGAAGAAAAAAAGAACAAACCAGCATAATGTTTACATTAACTTTAACTATACTTTATCCATTCACCTCTCAGCTTGTGGACAGTCAAATAAAATGTCCCTTTTGAAGCGCTGATTCTACATACTACTAGCCTGTTTTCTGAAACAACATCTCGTTTCTCCTTTCCACATCACAATTTATATTAGGATAAATCCCAACCCTAGATTTATACAAGCAGCCAAAGCAGGCTCACACAAAGCTCCCTTTCTCCACATCTCAGTGTGCTGACCTTGAGTCTTATGCATGCTTACAGACGTACAAGCTGTTGGCCTGTTTCTATACATGGCAGTAATACAGACTGAATGCTGGTACAGAGCAGCCAGTGAAAAGGTTGTTTTTATTAAAAAAAAAAAGTTCCACTAGATTATACCACATGTAGCACGTGACAGCAAAGACAAGATGTCCGTGAAACCAACACGCAGCCACAGACCAGTGTAGCTGAACACAGCAGCTGCTGTGAGACTGGACCAAAATAGCCACAGGGGTAAGTTACTCTCCCAAAGGATCCCCAGTGACTTCAGAGGCATTACTGCTCAAAGCAGTTGCAGAGATAGGGAGCTACTTTCTCTCTCCATGAAAGAGTGATACTATCTAGCCTTGAAGAAATAAAAGTATCTCCCTTAAGTTATGAGTATTTGACCAGTCCCTCCTACATCACTCCACAGACCATATTTTCCTAGTATCTGTCTGTGCAGAAATTGTTCTTACCCTTACAGAAAGATTTATTGAAATATTTTTCTCTGCCACAACTTTTGTGTCTTTTAAATGGCTAACTAGCATCCTGAAGAAGCTGATCAAAGGGAAGGAGAGCTGCGATCTGTGAACAGAAAAATCAATTTGTTTAAGTTCCCTGCACCTTCACCATCTGTCTCTAATTAAAAAACTAATTCATTCAGTAACTACTTAAGAAGAACAACAGTTGAAAATTTACGTAGTACTAGTTAACTATCATGGGTGAAGGCCAAATGCACAGATAACTTAACAGAGGAGTTTTCAGTATCAAAATATTTACCTGATAATAAACCTACAAGCTTCCTGAGGATTGGTGAAGGCTTTCCATCTTGCTGTTGGAATCCCATGTCGATCCAGAAAGGCTTTGGCAAAACTCGTGTTGGATGCCAGCTGGGCTGCTTTTGCAGATGGTCCAAAACACCTAACTCCTGCTGCTCTCAAGTCATCAACAATCCCTAATTATCAAAAATAGCAAAAGAACTGAGTCATCTCTTTGGAAACATCAAGTCATTTTGACAAAAGGAAAACCACATAAGCATTCCAGCAGTCTGTTACACTTTTCCTTGTCTCAGACACCTGATCCATCCTTAAAATAAGGTTCTGCACATCCAGTGACCTGTTTCATCATTTAGTTTTAAGAGGTGTTTAGCTCTCTGCATTACTAAGCACTGTCACAGTTACCACCACATGACTAGTTAGGACTGTCTGGTACTTCGGTTCACTATTTAAGTTACAGAAATCTTACTGTACCATATTATCATAAATGCATATGTTGGTCTGGGTACTGTTGCATACAGCAACAATGTTAGGACTACTGCAAGAAAATTCTTTATATAAAGGAAAGCAGAGCAGAAGACACAAGAGTACTTGTAACCATTAGTGATTCTTGATGCTGCCTGATTTCCCTTGCTGATTTCTAACATACAAAAAGCAGCGTATAGCTATGAAGCCAAATGTTTTAAGTGACTACAGTTTACATTTACAAGACAATCCAAATTTTCTTGCTCTTCAGTTTAATTGAGTCAGTGTGTCCTAAGATCTGAAAGAGGTCATTTTAAAGCAGATTTCAAGGTGATGATTTTTACTGTCAAGTTAATTTATATCAGCCTTACCAGCTGCCAAAAGAGCTTCTTGTCCAACTAACACAAGTCCTATGTTATGATCTTTGCAGAACTGGGTAACAATAGTGTGATTGCTCACTAATACAGCTGAAAAGGAAAAGCAAATATAATTAAGTTACCACTGCAAAGTCTAAATAAGAGATAGGGAGATGAGAATGTCATTGTTCCATCTCCCATGAAGGGCAACGTAAAACAAGCAATCTAGTAATAACAGAGTCCAGAACAAACAGTGAACATTTCCAATTTGCGTTACTGTTTTTAATACACATCTGCTAGCTTATTAAATGTATTTTATTTGCTATATGTAATCAATATAAACTTTAAAAAACCGTTTATCATAACAGAATGAAAACTTTAGAAAATAAACCTGTAAGTTCACAAGGAAACTCTGTTTCAACATCTGAGCAGACTTACTCAATGCCAGTGCATGATGTAGCTAAATTTAGCTGAGCAGCCTGGGCAGATACCAAAGAAGTTTCTAACCAGAAGTTACTAACTCTAAGCCTTCTACTCCTCTGTCAAGTTTTGCTGAAATTGATCAGTGAATTAAAGCATAACGGTGGGAAGAAAAAAATGAGCTGTAGAAATACAATCTCATATAAGCCTCACTATCTTAAAAAGCTAGGCTAAAAAGATATATATAGCATGATGTTTTACTAAATAGAAAAAAATAAATAGGTGCCTTAAATAATTTGTGGTAGCAGTAAAAGAAAAGAATAATTGTTATCTCCTACCAACTCAATACAAATGTAGTCAGTTTTCTTTCTGTTCCAACACCCGTATTACTGACTGCTTGGCACAATGTTCTATTTTTTCCCCCTTTTTACCTGAATTTGAAATTTTTCCATTGTCAGCTGTTCCTGCATTTCCTGGAGCAACAAACACTTGTTTTACATGTGGGGACTGGGCCAACTTCCAGGCCAGCGCATGCTCTCTCCCTCCACTGCCAATCACAAGCACCCGATCAGCCATTAGCCTGTGCAAACCCAGAATCATAATATTATATAGTACAATCTATTTATTTCACAAACCCATGTAAAAATAAGCAGTAATACATAAATTACATCCCTCACTTACAATTGGTAAGTAATATCAATTCAGTTCGTATTAGAAAGGTATCTATCTATAAGACATCTGAACAGAGTGCACCAGTAGCATCACTGGATAGATGCATCATTCACTTTTTGGTTTAAATACTGACAACAATGAAATCACTGAGAATTTTTTCCACTTGTTTCAGCATAGTCAAGATTTCCTCTCTTAAGTATCCAGGCTGAAATAATCGTGTCATGTCTAGATCTCGCCAAATCCTTTGCAAAAACTACACAGGACAGGACAGAAAATTTCATACAAATGCTCTAGGTAACTCACCAGATAGATGTATTTCAAACTGAACACTATGGTCAATCTAGGAACTTTTATGAGTGCAAACATGCTCAGTAATAAATGGCAATGACAGTTTTCAGAACAGATTTTATGCTCTGACAATTGCTAAGAGGGTAACTTCAGCAGAACAGCATGCTCAATAAAAGAACAACTGCTAATTTCATTAGCACACTGACATTTAAAACAGTTCCTAAACAATATTTCTAGGCAAATTGGTTTTGATTTATTTCAGAAATATTATCATACTCAACGTAGGTCACATCTGCAAACTTAATTTTTCCGTATGTGCTGAATGTGGACAAATGTCAGAAAGAAAAAACACCCCAGAACATGACCTTTAAGAAAGATGCTAATGACATAAACCAGTCCTTACCCAGGAAATAGATAATAAATTAAAGATACCATAAAACACCAGCTTTGCAAGCAACATGTCAGCAGTCTTTTCCCATGAAATCTCATAACCATTGTTTATTACATAGCTTCCAAAGGCAAAGAGAAGCTAAATGGTGACACTGAGGTATAATATTTCAGAAAAGATGTTCACAGAACTGTAACAAATCCATAATCATGTGTTGAGTTCCTGAGACAGTATTAAGAAGTCTTAACCTAGTATCAACAAAATAAAATTTAACTATATATATTTTCATACTTATTAAAATGTCCCAGTACAACACAAGTACCTCAAGTAGCCTGTCCTTGGGCATTACAGACCATTGGGGATTATCTAAGAGACTAAATTTAAGTTTTAGGTATTGTGCTCTAGGCATATAAACACAGAGCATATGCTTAATGGTCTACCAATCACCAGTCTGATTTCCTTGCAAAAGACGTTTCTAAGTCTTCATACTGTGTAAGACTTTCTTTTTTCTTTTGTCACTGCTTGACAAATAATTCTGGACTCACTAGAAGTTGCTGTGACCTTAAAAGATTACAACTGCTCTATCTCTGACAAAGACATCAACATGCTCTCTACAAAGCTTCATCAAGCACTATGGTCCAACCATTATTAATAAAAAGTAAAGTGTTTTTAAAAGCAAAATTATTTTTTCCCTCAGGTATATTTTCACAATTCACTGAAGTTTTCTAAAGCACAATAAATTAAAGTTCCTGACTGGGAACAGGGTGAAACCAGGCAGTGCCTCTTACCCTGTGGAAGAAATGCACATTTCCATTCCACATCATAGTGAGGACTCTAAAGACATTTTTTGCAAAGCAATTCCAAACTGTGCTGGAAGAAAAGAAAGCTGGTAAGACAGTCGGTCCTAGAGGAAAGGCTGCAGAGAGGGACGTGTCACTTGAATCTTCTTCCCTTACCTTGTCAGACCCTGCTGTTCATCCACACAAAAGGCTGAGGACTCCTCTGGATGGATTCGAGTTCTTCCTTCAGCTCCTGCTTCAGAACCCAATGATTTCTGATCTCCTAAGACCAAGGATAAGGGTGAGAGGGTGAAAGAAGCGGACAGACTTGCATGCTGCCCTGTCCCTTTGTATCGTCCTGACTGGAGGATCCCCAGCAAGATCCCCTTAATGCTGCCTGCCCTTGAGAACAGACCTCCCCACAGATCTCAGCAGCATGGACCATTCTCCTCTCTTTCCATTTTTCCTTAGCTAACAACAGAAACAACTCCCCCTCACCAGTCCTACAACCTTAATAGTATTCAACCCTAGGAAAAAAAAAAAAAAGAAGCTGCGACGCGGTATCAAAAAGCTGAGATCATTGCTCAGTTCCATGTTAAGAGCAATTTTGTATCCTCTGACAAATAAAGAATCTCAAGGACAATCTGTAAAAATAAAACACAGCTTTCATGGTCTACAGCTAAACAGGAACACTCCAGCTAAAACCTGCACGCATAACTCCCACAGACCTATTCTTTGTAATCGAACATATTCTTTAATACATAAAGGTTATTCTAATATCTAGCACATACTTGAATTGTGCCCCCTGTAATTACTACCCTTTTTACCTTTTGAAGAAACTTAATACAAGCAGTGCCAGAGATACAAGGTATATAATAAATGTTATTTTATTCTCCACTGGTTCCTATACTACCCTCTTCAACAGCCTACTCTTTTCATAATCGTATCTGATGTCATTTGGTTAATGTTTCGCAAGCTTGCAATGCTATCACTCTTTACGGAAAATAAAACTAATGTATCCCAACATAGCATTGAGCAGTATCTGTCTGTCTTAAAGTCAGGGAATGAGAAATTTAAAAAAATACATTAATAGAAACAAAAGTAATTCCTTTCACACCACTAAAATAATTTTAAAAGTAAATCTGCAAAGTTTGTTTAAAATTTCTATGGAATTAATGGCTTGTGTACAGTTGGAGAGATGCTGTACTTGAACCTCCCAGTTTAAGGAACTGTGCCTGCTACTGTTGTCCTAAGCATCACTTGCCAAGTATCTCTAGACTTCCTTCCTTAGATTTGCAAACTCACAGTTCCATATTTTCTACCTGTGACTGAAAAGCAAACTACCACAAGGAAAGAAGAGTCCTATTTCTTCTAAGATGAAACAAGGATAAAATTTCTCTTTTGGAATTTTTTCAAAGTCGGGAGGCTATGATAATTGTCTGAGACCATATCTTAAGACAGTTGCCTCAAAGCATTGTTTGCATAGCTTGCTGCAGGACCTCCTGCCAGGCCAGCAAAGCTTGTTTGGAGCCCAGCTCGACCTCCTGGCGGGCCAGCCAACTACAGACCAGACAAGGAATAAACAGCCACCCGAAAACAGCTTTGAAGGGAGTTGGAGGACAGGTACCTCGTTGTGGAAAATGTGTCTGGACACCAACCCCCTCCCTGGCCTGCCAGAGCCAGGACTGAGAAAAAACCCACATGCATGGGACTGGGTGAACATGGGGTACGGCCATTGCCTAGGGAACAATCTCCCCAAACCCCTTATAGAAGACTGTGCGACCAAACGATGAGGGGACCCCCATCACCGATGCACACAGGAACTATGGACCAACGGGATGCCGCTGGATCCATGGTGGTGACTATCTCTTGTGACTCTATCCCGACTGCTTGCTAGGTTTCTTTCTTTCCTGTCTTTTCCTCTCTTTCCTGTCAGTTTCCTCGTGCCTTCGTCTGAACAAGTGATCAATAAACCTGTTTGATTGGTGGCTTTTAACCTCGTTTGTGTCTTAATCTCACTCTGGGAATAACAACGAATCTCGACGGCTCAGGTCCTCCCGGACTGTAACAACAATTTAAACCAGAAACAGAACTTGTGCAGCCCTGAAATGTGTCTTTGCTACATGACTGGCCGGAAGAAGGTAATTTACACTTCCACTCATTCCAGCAGGTCAATTTGTATTGCCGTCATTTGACCAAATTGTTTTCTTAGGTCATGAAGCGAATATGCAGCAGAGACTGTAGAAAACCATGACCTAATGGACAGAAGAGAAAAATCTCTCTGAAACAATGTATTTTAGTGTTGTTTATTCACCAGGAGAGCGTACCAGCAAAGCTGTGGCAGGATGAGCCGTTGGTGCACAACACTGGAAGTTGTAGAACGAAGCAGGCTGCTCCGTGCAGTTGTTGCTTCCTTGCAGGTGTCAGTGCCACCATTTCGCTGGCTAGACGGGCAGCATGCTCAACCATACCTCATCGAGCACTATTAATAAAAAACACAAAGGGTTTTGTGTGTTACTTGTTTTTTAATAATAGACGCCAGTGCTCAGGGAGGAAACAAATAGTGATTTGTCTTCCACTGGCCAGGCATTTAGCTCGTGCCATCTGGGTCCTCTCTTCCAGCCTGAGGATGAGAACCGTTCCTTGGTTCAGGGCTTCCCCAGGGGAAGTTTCCACTCCCCGACAGCCGGCCGATGCTGCAGGAAAACCCACCAGGCGTCACCGGCCCGGCAGCAACGGCAGCGTGTCACCTGCTGAGGTGGGACTCAGGAGAAAGGAGGCTAAAAAGCAGTCGAGGTTTGCATGTAAAAGTGTATC